TGGTTAAATTACGTTAAAAGTATGTGAACGTCTTGTAACGGTCAAATCCCCGTACTAAACAACACCGATACACTCTTTGTAGAATTTTTGTCCATTCTATATTAAAAAAAAAAAAAACAAAGAATATTCTAATGGACCAGCAAATTAATGGCTTTTGCTATTTAAGCACTGCAAATATATGCTACCTTTCCTCTAAAATAGGAATGGTTTGTGCAAACGCAAATGAAATGTCGGTCAAAGCAACCTCAACAGCCTGTATTTCGCTTACATACACCTTCTAGAACTTCGAGCTCTGCAGTTCTAGCATTAATCGTAGCACATGAGATGAGGCACATGAGATCAGCGCGAGCCTCGCGCACGCCAGGATTTTTGGGTGTCGCATTTGTTTCTCACTCGTATCTTATTCTCGCGTGTCTCTTTCTCGCTCGTCACATGTTGTTTTCGTTGCGACGGGAGACGGTTTGTTGAGAGTCTCGGCAGCACATATTTGCACACACGAGGAAAATGTAACTCTGTTAACTGGTACCCAGGAACCCCTAATACCAGTACGATATATGTAAAATCTCGTATAAATATAGTAAACCATGGCCCACTTGGTAATGGAACAAACTCTTTTGCTTATTACAGCGCTCCTGGAAGTTTTTGGCGTCTTTTTGTTGACAACAACAATAACAATATCAGTGTATTTTCAGTACATAAAACGCTCTTGTTTTGGAGACAGTCACCATTAAAGGTGGTCTAGTATGAGATAGGAGCGGACTGGCTGGTTTTGAGCCAAACGAACTGTCAAAGTCAGAGCCAATCGAGCAGCACCTATCTTGATTGCATTGGCAGTGTTGCTAGAAATCACCTAGGCATAGGTTGCCAAGGCAGTTTGTTTTGAATCCGCTCCTCTCTTATACTAGACCCTCTCTAGTCACCATGCAAGAACAGACTAGGAAAAAAATTGTGCGCTGGCACGTGAAAAATCCATTGTGGTCCGCGTCCAAGCTGGCTAAGGTGTTGAATTTTCCTAGAAACACAGTATGGCGCGTGCTGAAAACGTAAAGGGAAACCATGACGATTAATCGGAAGCCTCAAAGTAAACGCACAGTTTTTAGCCAACAAGCGCGCCTTTACGTCAGAAAAGGCAGCTAATATATTCTATAAACATTGTGAGGAACAATTATTTTCGTGTTTCCATAGGTATCTACAGGCCTTAGCAATGTGCACAACTTTTTTGTTATTAATGTAATTAAATTGAATTTTTCATATGAAATAACTGCATCTCATTATTTATTTATTTATTTATTTATTCGTCGTCAATCAAATGTAAACCAGTTTAAATTACAAAAAAATACTTAACATCTATTATAATTTTCAATATCTGACTATCCTCGAAAAGAAACGTTTTTTAAGAGCATTTTTGTTCATTTTCAAATCAATTTTTTCATAAAGTTCATTATAACAAGACATCATTCTATTTAAAGGCGCGTTCCTGGCATTGTTTGTTCTTTGGCTGTTAATATAAAACATATTTCTTTTTTCTTAAGCAGTGATGCAAAATATCATGACACTCACGTGACACTCGTCAACGCATCAACCGACTTTCGCTGACAGAACGTTTTGTCAAGCAGTAGAGGTAGAGCCATGGCAAACAACAATCACCAGTAATGGTCGCTGCTCAGAAGCAAAACATTACACTTTCTGCTGATGATGAAAAGCACAACGAAAACAGTGAAGACTTCTGCAGTACGATCATGAGAAAAAGCGAAGCGACAGAAGAAAATGAAAACAATGCCTACGCATTCCAAGTTCGTCTCGGCAGGTGTGAGTTCCAAACAAAGTAGGCAACATTAAACGGAATCTGTTGGGCTCACTCACCAACACACTCACATAAGCAAGCAAAGCAGCAACTGCTTCAAAACAAGCATAAATGAGTGTTGTGATTGTCGGGAATGACCAGATCGGTGATGGATCACAACCGAAGACGACATTAACCAGTTGCTTTTTACTTCTTTCGTCAACTTGATGGATGGTCATGGAGAGAGCTTCGACGAGCACATTGATAAGAATGTACAAAGCGTTACTACCATCAGCTGTTTGGCAATCGTGATTGTGATAGGTCGCAACTTTGTTCTTAATGGGAAGCTCACCGCTCCGAAAAAAATAATTACGTTTTGATTTTTCTAAAAATATTGGCAAAAGATATCAAAATTCTAAGAAAATCACATATTTTTTTAATTTTTCAAAGAAAATTCACGTGCAAAAACATTTTTTATAAGTCATTATGGCATAAAGTTGGACTCAAAAAACCACAAAACATCAACTTTTCGGTTTTTCTGAGAGTCCAATTTTTTTCATGATGGGATAGAAATTTTTTTTTTGCATTTAATTTTTGACAAAAATCTAAGGAAGAAACTGATTATCTTGGATTTTTGATAATTTTTCCCAATATTTTTAGAAAAATAAAAACGTACCGAAAATATTTTTTTATTTTTGGGCCGGTGAGCTTCCCCTTAAGGAACGAATTGGAGCATAAAAATTTAGATTTTCTAAAATCTCTGTGGCATTCACTCTTTGTGCTACAACATCGTTTATAACAGCCATCATTGAAAACTGCCATCGCTCTTCAAGTGCATCCAAATTGATCAAAATACATCGAGACTCATAAGATGGTAAGGGTAAACTCGTCCAGCCTAACTTAGAGCATTTTTTTTTATTATAGAGACTTTTAGCCTTGGGCTGGTTTGTCTCTGTCTCTTAGAGCAAATAATAGAAACTGTTTTTGAACTGATTCAATGCGGTTTATATGAGTATCTTGATATGGAGTCCAGACTATACTACAGTACTAAAGGACGGGCCTAACATATGCAACGTATAATGTTTTGATTGTGTATGGATCATTGAAATGAAAGCTAAATCTTTTAATAAACCCTTGCATGTTGCTTTCCTTGTAGATAATGTTATTATAATGTTCAACAAAGCTTTGAATTTAGTATAACACCTAAATCTCTAGCTTGATTGAACCTTTCAACTCTGTTTTGTCCTATTGTTACATGTTCTTGCCTAATAATTTTCTTTCTTGTAAATGAAATGGAATTACAGTTCTTCACATTAAGCTTTAATAAACTTTTTGTGCACCAAGTGTAAAAGTTATCAATTTCTTGTTGAAATACTACAAGATCAGACGTTTCACGAATTTTCAGGAAAAGTTTCATGTCGTCTGCATATTTTGAGACATTCAGAATATTCAATATGTGCTGTACATCATTAACAAATAGAATAAATAGTAATGGTCCAAGATGGGAACTTTGTGGCACACCAGATGTTACATTGACTACTGACGACAAATCTCCTTCAAATCTAACTCTTTGTGTCCTACCGGTCAATTATGACTGATTACACTTTAATAAATGTTGACTAAAACCTAACTTAGATAGTTTGAATAGCAAAAGAGGGATATCAACTCTATCAAACGCTTTACTGAAGTCAGTATATAGTGCCTCAACATAATGTCACTTATCCATTGCGTTAATAGAAAAAGTTACAAAATTCAACAGATTAGTAGTCGTTGAACTTCCTTTAACAAAACCATACTGTTTGCCTGTAATTAAATGTTTAACTTGTGCAAAAACACTTTGATTTATTATAGATTCAAAGAGTTTAGGAATGCAGGACAATATAGCAACTCCACGGTATTTTTTTGCGTCTGATTTTTTCCACTTTTGAAAATTCGAATCAAATGCGATTCCTTCCAAATTGACAGGTAGAAAACAGGATTCGATAGAAGAGTTGAACAGCCAGAACAATGGCTTTACTATCTCCTGCGATACTGATGTCAAGAATATTGGTGGCAATCCATCTGGTCCTGCACCCTTTGATGCATCGAATATATTTAGAGAATATAAAATTTCGTTGAGGGTAACATTATTAACTACAATATCTCTCATTGGCTCATATCCTGAAATAACTCAGCAAATAAGTTACTCAGCAAATATTAATCCCTCAACTGTAGGTAATCAAATGCATGTTGATTGCCTTTTCTGAAATTAGGTGGTGTGTCGAACAGGAAGAAAATATAAGAGTGAAGATTACGGATGAAACCCTTCGGTTTAAAAACAAAATTCTGTTATATTGAATTACTGTTAATTGTTGAATGCAACATTCATACCCAAATTATAAAATACCATAAGAAATCTCCGTATGTAATCAAACGAATCAGTAAAAAGAGAATATGTTACAGACAAAACTGAGTGTTTTTGTCAAGATTTACACAGCCAAACAATATATTTGTTTGCTGAAATCTCAATTAAAAACGACGTTTGCTTGCTGAGATTCAGCGAACGACTTTCCGTGATTCAGCAAATATACCTCTTTTTTACTGACATTTCTGCAAATTGTGTATGCCAGCAGTTAATGCAAATCTGCATGTGTAGATTATAGTGGAATCAATCGAAGTTAGGTGCATTCACACATTTCAATTCGCTGACCCACGTTCGTAAATTGATCTCCATTATTGGTTCTCCTCCACAGTCCCTTAATATGGTGGCGGTAGCGACTTGAAGCTTCAATTAATAATAGTATACTACCGAATGGAAACCAACACCACCCGTTTGATGATGATGAAGATCGCGGTTGGTAAATCGGCGAATGCTTTGATACACTCAACCATAGTCCAACAAGATGTTTCGGTATTGCTACACCATCCTTGATATGCCTCGAACGCTATCAATCATCTTAAGTGGTTCGCGAACAACACGCGAAACATTACGGTCACATTCCGAACCGCATTGATTTGCGAAACCACACACATCGCTGGGCGTGGGCACCCGTTTGACTAGTTTAGATTGCTGTGTAGAAAAGATTATGCCCTCATGGTTAGCTAAAATTCCAGGAAAATACGCTATCTGATATGTATACTGCCCGGCAGATTGGGTCTTTGCAGCAATTAATCAAAGTAACAACTAAGGAACTGCTAGGAAAAAAGTCAGATATATTAAGCTGATGGAAACACCAACCTTTTTGCCGTCACGGAACTTGACGGATCCCTCGATAATTGAGCTAATATCCACCATTTTTCTTCCGGTGGCTGTTTTCCGACTGTTTGGCTCGGTGGATTCGGTGAACTCTCTACCACCGGTGAAAAAAAGTTGGCACTTATGTTTCGCTTCACTTTCTTCCGCTTGTTTGGGTTACTTTCGCATTCATGCACACGCGTCGATTTCCCTTGATTATCAATTAATTTAGCACTTCCAATCAGCAGAAACGAATAATCGGATCAACTTTGGCACACTTTTTCCCAGCTTCAGGTATGGAGGGTATTTTTTATTCACTCGGCGAATTCGCCGATTGAACGATTGACGGTCGGTGGGATGCTATCTGCTACGAGCTGCTCCGAATCTATCAATCACATTCATCTCACGGCGCACAATGTCCAACTTTTCCCCGTTGGCGATTGTTTCAGAATGATTACGAGGCGGGGGCGGTTCGATGGATCAAGTGCAGAATATTTTATTGCTGTTGTTTTATTCGTCCTCCCACTGCTATTGTTACTGTATTTGGCCTCTATGGAACTCACTCACTCACACTATTTAACTGTTTGGTTTTTAATTAAGCGAAAGCATTGCTTCGGAATAAATATTTTCCGATAGCCGGGGTCCAGACATCGTCAATAATAAATGAGCCACAATTAATTATTCATCGCAGTCCGCAACGATCGTACTACGGTCGTGTCCCGGATTGGTCATTCCGGCCGAGAGACATATAGGTCCCCACATCAAACCTGACGATGCGTGAAATTTCTCCTGGAGGCCTCGACACGGCGAAGCCCGAAATCTGCGGACTCAATTTCCGGTGGTGACTGTTCGATTTTTTTTTAATCTGTACACCATTCGACATGTAATTTCTCCCGCCGAGATTGGAACCGGCTTTGTAGCGGGATATTGTGGTTTATTTCCGGCCGGATAAAGCCACTCCGAGTGGGGGACACTGACGCGGAGGAGCTGGCGTCTTCTTCATACCACGATCTGGTTGACAGAGTGGAGAGTTTTAATTTCGCAATCCGGTCAGACCGATGGTGATTAATTTTGCAAGCGAAATGGACACGCTTTTATTTTTCGTTCTTTTTTTTTACTACTGTGGCCCAAGGCAAAACAGATCTCACCTGACCGAAGACAAATAAGCACAACAATGAACGCTGTGGCGCACTCGCACGGCGATAAAAATCACACACTGTCGGAACAAATTTTCATTAAGCTCGATGTTTCATAATTCACTAATTTTCTTCTGGCTTTCCACTCGGGCCGTCATCCAATGGGATGGAAATTCATTGTTTCAATTTCCATTGTTCGCTGTGTGTTCACAACCGAATGGCTTGTTTGACGGCATGAGTTTAGTTTATGACAAATTTTTTGGGCTTTTTCTTGTTTGTTTATTTGGCACTCACTATTTCCCGGTTCACTGATTGCGTGTATTTATTTTCTTTTGTCTCCGCAAAACACCTGTAAATACGCATGAAATCATCGTAATGGAACACCAATAACGTTGTGATGCAGGGATTTAGTTACAGTTTGTTTTCTGGTGGTAACTGGCAAAGCATAAGCGATATACTGATTCACAGCGGTATAAGTGATACTGGGAAAAGATGCAGAACCCTCATTGATAGTATTTACACTGCTTTCAGTGCAATGCGTTTCAATAAAAAACGGTTAATATGAAATTATATTGGCACCCATTGAACTGAACGGAAACTAATTGTTTACGCGTCCCTCACCTAAACACTGGATAGATGTGGTACTAAATGAAAGATTATTTTGCAATTTAGTGCCGCTCATAATTAGAGTAGTTCTTAAATGGCCTTTTTCTGAAACATCTTCAAACAATGTGTTATGTTTATGTTAGTTCATTATTATTAAATTTTGTTATCATCGATGCAAATAACCTGTACACGCAAAGCAATTTCTCTTACATCCAATGTAAGGTAAAATTTATTTCATCCTATGCACATGTTTCATAGAGCAAATGTAATGATAGTTCGTGCAATGGTTTGCAGCGTACAATCAAGTTTTTTTTTAAGAACGCATATTCTTGTACAAAACCATCACGTGATGATTTACAATACACAATGCATATGGGGAAACAACCTTTATTTGAAAAATAAGTTATCATAAAAATTATAAATTATTTTGAAAAATCTTCCGGCGACCACAAAAAAAAAAAGATGCTGAATTACTACAATTAAATTATTTCCATCAGATATAAGCCAAACCTTTTGATCTATGAGATGGATCTAGTGGAGCGTTAACCTAGTATATTTGGAATATAATATTTGACTTTCAACTTCAAATTCCATTTTTGATGAGACTCATAAGTTGTCCCAGGAGCTCCCGTGAGCCCACTATAATTGCCCCAGAATAGAGAATTCCTACAAGTATTGCGAGTATAACCACTGCAGTTAATCCACAACGGGGTTTATTACGGATGTCACTTCACGGTGAAAACTTGTCACTTGTCGCCACGGTGAAGTGATTCCCATTTGATTTGTACAGCAATCACGGCTCTTATTCTGAGTATCACTTCCTAATCACCGTGTAGTGACACCCGTAATAAGGCCCAACATCTCTTAACTTGATTCAGGAGTCTCATAAGTTTACTTTAACGTCCAAGAGCCATATGGAATTGACCCATACGTCTTCACTACAAGAATTTTAGCTCTTTTAGAGTTGAATGAATAAGGCCATTCTATCGTAGCAAAATTTCAAGATTATTGCGATTTGATACCTTCATTATATGCATATATATAAAGGACATAAACAGGACATCCAAGGACTTAGCGCAGATCAGAAGAATGGATTTCCTATTTCTGTCCCATGTCCTATCAGAATTCCGTAGAAAATCATGTTTCATAACTTTTTATATTCTCTAAAATCTTTGATCACGATAATTTTGCTAAATTAATGTGCATGATTTTTTAATCTAGTTCCTAAAGCTGTTTTCTGAATCTGCGATCTTGAGAATTATTCTAAGCTTCATAAACGAGACTTTGTGTATATATTGTTCTTATCTAAACTCCATAATATTGAATTATGTTCTTGGTTTTGATAATTTTTCAAGGACATTTTTAGGATCTGAAGGATTGAAGTCCAGGTTCTTGTAAGTTTTTCGAAACATGGAAACAGGTCATTTTTTTATCTTCACGTAAGTTTTAGAAAAAAAAATATCCACATTTTTTCCAATCTCCAACTTGCTGTTTTCATGTCCAGAATAGGAGAAAAATAAAACTGTCCAGAACATGTATTTGTATTAAAGCTCTTTAAAACACTAATTATACAATCTGTTAAAATTTGTGAATCACGAAACTTCAACAACTGTGTAAGTCCCAGAATCGTTAAAAGTTTTCATTTTTGAGATTTTAAAGTAAATGTTCGAGCCAAGTTTTCTTCCTGAACAATTTTACCTATTCCTTCCGACATTCGGGTCAGTGACCCATTTTTCCAAGTGTTATTCGACCTGATTCCCCAATTCCGTTATGGCTTCCAAGTGGCTTGCAATTAGGTTGTTTGTCAAAAAGTATGGACTACACAGCAAAAAATTTTAATTGTGATGTAAACATTCATTCACATAAACTTGTATTTCATTCCATGCAAGGAGCAACTTGTAAGCAATGTTGTTTACAAAGATGGGCTTTTGGATACAATATTTGGTCAATTGGTTGAAGCGCAGCTTGATCAACAGATTTGAGTTAGACAAGCTTCTATGGGCTGTCAAAATGATCGATCGCACATTGGATAACAAATCGAACAACCCAGTCCTATGTGCTACATAAAATCTGCAATATTATTGAACAACCAGTTTCGATTGATGCTCGGTTGTATCGTGTGTTTTGATTTAAAATGAACGGAGTCAAAGTCTGCTAAACTGGTAGCATTGTGCAAACATCGCATTTATTTTAACAGGGTTGTCCAACAGTCTAAGTGAGAAGTCAAATAGCATATTGAATTGTTTTTGGCTCAGTTGCGAAATTTTTGCTCGGTTGACGAGTTGGTTGGGATTATACAACAAGTCTAAGAATCAAGTTTACAACCAGGTTACAGTGTGAATTCGGTTCAGAAGATTCAATTCATCGATCTTCAAATTGAATCACCGTAAATCAATCGCAAACTGGACAGGCTCGGTATCCACGGCTGCCTTTTGCAATGGTTTCAGTCGTACCTCACCGATCGCTATCGTACTGTTGTCATTGGTGATCACCAGTTCCGTATGTTCGCTGCCACGTCCGACATACCCCAGGTTAGTCACCTGGGGCCGCTGATTTTCCTGATTTACTTCAACGACGTGAATCTGGTAATTGAGGGACCTCGATTATCTTACGCAGATAACCTTGAACTCTTCCTACGAATTCACACAATTGAAGACTGTTGCTTCCTTCAACGTCAGCTGACAACGCTTTTGCTGATTGGTGTATTCTGAATCGTATGGAGGTTAACCCGTCCCAATGCTCAGATATCTCTTTTTCGCGCAAGAAAGAAACTATTATGTTCAAGTATGTTTTGTTAGGCACTGAAATTGAGCGCGTCAGCCAAATTAAGGACCTAGGTGTGATTCTGGATACACAACTTTATTTCAAGCAGCACACCTCGCATGCCGTCGATAAAGCTTCCAGAATTCTAGGGTTTATCTTCAGGATTGCCAAAGACTTCACGGATATCTAATGCCTTAAACCGTTGTACTGCTCCTTGTCTCGCTCCAAATTAGAAAACTGCTCGGTTGTCTGGACTCCTCACTACAACAACGGTGTCGAAAGAGTTGAGTCTGTTCCTGAGATACGCGCTACGTAAACTGCCGTGGACGGATCCCCAATGCTGCCCCTGCCCATACAGCGAACTAATTATAGCATGTTCAGCGAAATCGGTGGTTTACAGAGACTGACACCAGTTGTTTTTTAGTCATAAATAAATAAATGGTTGCTGAGAAACACGTTACCCAAAAATATGTAACTGTTCACGGGCAGAAACCGTTCCCGGACCTGTGGATGAGCACCACTGCCCTACGTTATACCTCAGGTTATACCTCGCTTCAAAAAAGGATTGTAAATTTCTGTTCAATATGATGCACATAAATGGAGCGTCATATATCATACATAAGCAAAAATTAAAGATCGTGTAAAGTTATGAGTCATTTCATGAAATGAATTTTTCAATGAAATATGTCCTGCAAGTTGCTAGTTAACGTGAATACAAATATAAGTGCATGAATGTTGATTTCACCAGTAATATTCAGAATTTAGTTCTATGCGCCCATTACATTTACCTTAGTATTATCTAGGAATACACCTCAGAATTGTCTTGGTATATGACTTACAATTCCCATAAAATGCTCCATAGAATTCTTCTTAAAATTTACACGAAATTCAATGCCTCGTATATTTTAGAAGTTCATCGCAAATTTTATCTCAGAGTTTCCTTGAAAATTATCTACAGATTTTCCATGGAATCCTAGTCGATGTTTTGTCTAGGGGGCTGTCCATGAACTGAGTGATTTTAACCTTCGCCCTCCTGTGCAGACAGAAATTTATAATTTGTTTAGAATTATCTGAGATTCTCCATCAAAATTTCTTTCAGAATCCCCTTAAAAATCTTTCTAAAAACCTTTGGAATTCTTCTTAGGATTAACCAAGGATTGTGATCAAATTCCACATGGAATACTGATCTGAATTATCTTGGAATTCTACTCAGATCTAACTTGAAACACTCCTTAGAATTTTCAGAAGCTCTCCTTGCAATTCCCTTGAAATTTTTCTCAGAATACATGTATTATGAGTACTTCCAATGGTGCATAGAACCAAAGTTAAACATTTCCATTCTGGGTGGCTACTTGCTTTTGTCTTAACCTGGATTAAGGTCAGATTTCTGTCAACTTGCATGGATTCCTGGTTGAGGTTATGCCAACAAGAACCTCCTCAATAAGGTAACCTACCTCTGCTGCAATGGGCTGCTGGGTTCCAATCTCTGCATTTCCTACAGTCGTCACATCATTTAGAATGTTTATCGAAATTCGCATGAAAATAACCTACCTAAGGCAAATGGCTCTTATGTTGGCCTTTGCATCATAAATTTCCAATTTTAATATTTTTCCGTCATTTGGACAAAAAACTTATCCAATTTGGTCTACTTTAGAATGTTTCCATTGGCCTAATATTAGGGACATTAACCCTATTCCTTTTTTTTAGCATTAGTTTTCCATTAGCTTGTTCACCAAGTTGCGGAATTAAAGGAACACAATGGTACAGCAATCATATCTGTCAAAGGTATAACACTAAGGGTGGCGGGTTTTAATCCCGAACCTGTCTAGGACATCTTTACAAGCTGCGAATTTTCTGGACTTTTCCTTGCATCATTGTTTTTTCTATATTTATTAAAGATATTTAATAAAGATTAAACAAAATTTAAAAATCATCAACCAGAGCATCATTGTTATTTCCACACAATGTACACATCTATGCATTGGCAGGCAAAGAAAGCTCTAAATTCATTACTGTGGAAAGCTCTAAATTAATTACTGTGGAAACGCTCGCGAAAGAAGCGTGAAAAGCGAGTAAGAAGAAGGAAGCTCCCTTGAGATGTTCTAAAATATCACCAAATCGGTTTTGGAAAATTATTTTCATGTGGATGAAATAACCCCTTGATTTGCACCTATATATTTTGGAGCCTATCCTGTATCTTCCCTTTACGTCTTAAAGCCTTAAGTTTAAATAAGCACTCTAGACCTTATCCAAATTTGCTAGACCCTTTCTTAAAAATCTTTGTATCCATCTCAGTCCCGCATCTAAAAAAAAATAATCATTAATCTTTTTTTTTAGATTTGATTAGGTATACTTCGAAATGGCTACTTGACTTCATTTAACACTAATACATGTTTTATAAGCAAAAGATAACTTTACAAGAATAATGTAAATACAAAATTATAGGGCAAATCTGTGGTTTATATGTTTTGTATTAACCCATGTCAGACCTTCATAGTTAAAAGGTTATTTATCAGACTTATGGGTTACTCGCAACGATATGTTCAGCCTTTATTGAAAACGAGCTTTGTTTAACATTTGAAAACACTGTCCTTGTGAATATGGAACAGCATTATTTGATCATCTTTTCATTCAAAATCTCTCTTTAAATTAAGGAGAAGCAATCTTGATAAATTTGGAAAATCTTATTTGGTTATAATTAATTGAATGCGATTGAAGATCAATTAATTGAATGCGAAAGACAATCGTCGGGATATAAGCATGATAAACTTTAAAGTTTTGGAAAAATGTATTTCCAAGTGTTTTTTTAACAAAGTCGACTGGAAATTTAATTATTTTTTGGAATTATGATTCTTGGAATCTGAAGGAAATCTGTAAGGTATTTTCAAGGACTAAAATGATTATAACTAGCTCAGTGGCGACCATATTAAATGTTTCTAAACACCTAAATCATGAAAAAAATAAATTAATTTCTTATAGGTTACCCTCCAGATTAATTCTTAACCCTAAAATATGAGCCTGTACAAACATTGGTAAAGATTGATAATGATTTGGAGGTCACGCTAATGATTTGGAATTTGTTTGGGAATTACTATGGGAGAATTTAAAATTAACTTATATCGCTTTAACTTAGCCTCTACTTGTCCAAATGTTGAAAAATTAAATATGTTGTTGCTATGGCAATGACCAAAAAACCTATTGTTGTTCCAAGAAATATAGAAAAACGAACAAATTACATAATAGGGAAGTTATCTGTTAGACAACCACGCATATTTCATCACAACAAAAACAGGCTTGTTCAACATTGTCATGACAACCACATTTTTTTTTCATCGTTTGGACAACTTCAACAAAAGATGAATCCCCTAATTTTCCTTACTAGCTCCCCGAAATCTCCTTACAAAATTCAAATCATTGGCACGACCCCTAAGCCTTCATCAATTTTTGTATTTTTTTTTTTGCACAGGCTCATATTTGGGGTTTATGAATCGAACTTCTGGGTGGCCTATCAGAAATGCATCGCTTTTTTAAAAATGAAGCACCCTAACCTACAAATACCAATCATTCTTTGATAAATGACAAAGTTGTAGTTCTTCGATCATTTCCTTTCGATCCTAATGCATAGAAAAACATAACTGCTGGAGTGGCTTTATCCAGATTATTTCTATACCTTTTGATGTGTTTCTAAATGAAAGGACTGCACTTTTGTACATCAATTTCCAGTTGGAGCCAATTTTACTAATAGCCTTGATATTGCCCTAGGGCAATTCGAAACGCAAAAAAAAAAAACTGTAACAGCTATCATTATATGTTTTGCATTTACCACCACATAGTTCGCTCAAGTATTCAAATTTGAAATATACGATCAGGAGGATAGTCCTGTACGGTTATAACAAAAAACGCTGAAACGCACAGATCACTGCCATTGTTGTCCGACGTTCGACGTCCCACAGAACCTAGTCTGCTTTCTGCTGTTTCACCACTTTGCCATCGGTCTCCGTTCACCTTTTCCCAATTTTACCATTAGCTTGGTAACGATATTAATTAATTTATTGGAAATTCTTCTCGTCACGACCGGGCACACTGAACCGCATACTCATAGGGATGCTGGCAACGGCGAAACTCATCCGTAAACTACTAAATCTATTTCACTTGGCTCCACTACGATAAAAGCTTCTCTCTACCACCCACTCCACCGCACCGCTAAAGCACGAAACATCAAGAACTCGATACACTCATTGCGGCTGTGTTCTCAACCACCATGAGCCGCAGTTTGTAGGTATCTGGCTTCGTTTTCGCCCGGCACCCCCTGCCGCGAGACGATAAGTATTATCGGCAATTTATTCAATATTTCATTTTTTTTTGCACATATACACATACACACAATAACCTAACGAAGGCAAATTGGCGAAACATGAATAAATAAAATTTCATTCAAACTGAAAGCGACTTCCCGACTTTTTCTTCTCTACGCCTTGAGTGTCGTGGATCAGAGGAAACCTTTGCCGAAATCACAATACCGCTCAATCCAGGCACTTTGAATACCGCATTCACTGCAGCTATCTGAAGCACCGAGGGGGAGATCTTCCGGTTCTTCGGTACACCCACACCCACGCACACATTTTCCCCCGGTCTCCTGTGTACGATGGATTCGCTGATTTTTCCGAGTGCGAAATGTTAAAATATTATTAAATTCTTCTTTTGCAAATGCTTTGCCCCCCTCGATTCTATTCGCCACAAGACACAATCGGGTGCTGAAAACACACAAACCGCGCCAAACAAGGATCTTCACTTTGTTCCGAGGCTTTCTATGCTCACACACAGCAGCAGAGTGTGGGTGGGTGGTAGATTGCTGGATGCACTTATTCTAACCTTCTCTTTTTCCTTGCATCGCTGTCTGGAGGTGCACCAGCAGCAGCAGCAGGGAACAATTTCGTTCGTCTAGCACATTCGCATGCACATTGAGACGGTTTGCTGTATAGCTAAACCCCGGAAGTTCGTACACTACCTTCCGGAACCACTGGCCACCACCAGCAACGACTAGACACCCCCGCGGGGAACGTTTGCTACGTCAGATCTTGTCGCGCGCGCCCGTTGATGTGAATGTCCTTCTAGCATTAGACTTCACACTTTTCGAACACTGGAAAAGATACACTGGGAGAACCGCTATCGGAACGGAACGTCACGCGTAACGAAAACCCCGTCGTGTACGCACTGTTTCACGGCTGAACGCGAACTAAACAACAATACCACTGGGTCATGTTGCGCATGTTGGCCCAAAGAACGGCACACGGGAGAGAGCGAGCGATCGTTGCCTGCTACCAAAAATGATGGAAGAGAACAATCCGAAAAGGCAGCTGACTTTCCGGTGGTAACGCGAGAGAATTATGCTCCGAAATGAATAAGGTTCCGTTCCGATCCGAACGAGAGTGAGAGCAATGATATGAAGATGTAGAAACTAACAGCATCGACCTCGGACCGGGATATGAATGAAATGAACGAATTCTATGCTGGCAGCAGGCACACGCGAGTGTAAAACGGATTGTTTTGATTCATTTTGGGGTGGCTGCTGGCGTGAATGAAACATGTGGTCCACAAATGACGCTGTCACTGCTGACGATGAGGGTGATTTATGCTATTGGATGTTATGGGAGAGAGAGAGCGAATGTGAGCAATGTGGCCCGGTGGGGTGCAGATGTTCACTGGCCATCTTGCGGTGAGTAGCAAATGTGAGGTCTATTGAATTCAAATAAGAGGAAAAGTGGATATCAGTAAAATTGTATGTATTACAGTAAACTTTGTTATTATTGTTATGCTCTGTTCTATTTTTCCGAAATTAAGTTAATTAAATCTAATGCGTAATTACGATGTGTAGCTCTTGTGCAAAGAGGACGTCCACATGGATGGAATCATTGTTATTAGTTACCGGAATCGTCAGATGCCATTCACCACCATTTCGCTAATCAATTATCACTTAAGGTCACAAAGCTTCAATCCCATCTGGTGGCAGTTCACCATCAGTTAGGGTAAACGCTCCTATAGTTGCGGTACATTAGAAGCGTTAGTTCCTATTAGATGTGTATGAAAACTTCATACACATCAAACTAGTACTTGGAATGGCAACTAGGATAAACGCATCAATAGTGAAGGTACGTTAGTGCAATGTATTCCTATAGTGGCTTATGGAGTCTTGCACTAACGTTCCTCCGCTATTGGTGCTTTTACCCTACGCCAACAGAGATCACAACGATTTTTTTCAAGTGTAGGCGGTTACTGGTATAAGATCTACCTCCGAACCCTAGTACTGACAACTTCAAATTAAGTGAACAGAATTCACTAATCAAAGGAACACATCTTAGTCCTTCACAGTACGAACGAAACGTGTAATTTTCTGTCTGATTGGATGTAACAAAAAGACCACAAGATAAATAATTTGTTTTTACATGAGATTTTAAAATTACATGTTGTTTTTTGTCACCATTAAATTTACATGTCTTTTCTGTAAAATTAAACCTCCATGTAATTAATGTGAAACTCTTATTATGAAGTTTAGAGGTTAGAAATAAAATCAGTTTTGAGATTTTGCTTTTTCGGATTATTTGGAATTATTACAAGGTATAGGGCACTATTCATTGTTTATATTTAACCACTAACTTTGTTTCCAATAAGATTCACAATAACACTTCCTAGGCAAGCTCTCGTCGGATAAATTCTTGTAAATAACGGTGCCCTGTTTGGCACGGATGGAGATCACACACAAATTAGTGGAATCGATCAAACCTGCCCAATAATCCTCATTGAATTCTGCACCACGGTCGAGATTTTGAGGAGCAGGAACAGCAAACGGATCACAGTCGATTTCTGATGGAGACGGATCTCTCGAAGAGCAGTTGTTTCTGAACTCGTTTGTGGATGGTTGCGATGATGGTTCGATATTTTTCCGTCAATCGTAACACTCACGAGTAAGCTGATAACAACTTAGCTAGATTCCATAAAAAGTAGACCATAATCTGACACAACTATTTCGAATTAAGAGCAGAGCTGTTTTTTTAATGCGTGCAACTTTTCAACTGGCCGCCATGATACTTTGCTGACAAACGTCAAACGCCGCAAGCCAAAGACATGATGCGTTTGCGTTAAGAACATGCAAAATTATAGTTTTTAAGATGGAAATTTGAATGTGCTGCATTATATTACATGATGTATCATTTAAATTTAAACCATTACGGTTAAATTATATAAAAATCGATCCAATAGTTAATTGGATGTAATGTAATTATTATTTGCGTCTTATCTGATTGAAAATTCTGCGCGATATTGCATTACTTTAGCATTGATTCCATTACATTTCAAATTAAATCACCGTTAATTTTCATAATTTTTAACTGTGTTGTTACTTTTTATGCCTTATTAATAATAAAAAGACTCGGAGAAGTAGTCACAACCCAACTAACGTTTTCAGTATATGTTAACGTTTTATCAATTTCGATTTTACAGCCTCATGCTGTATTGAAACACTATACGTACGCAATACGTACGCATATTTTACACAAGCTCTATACAAGCAAATCTGGGTAACTTTGGTAGCTATAGTTTTGGTCACATTAGACAAATTTTAATCTCATATTCGTTAACGCCGATTATTCTGCTGTTTAGTTGAGTATGAATTTGAAAGACGCTTGTTGAACTTTTTCCAATCTACTAAATAATCACTTTATGCTTTGTCGCAAAGTAGAGTTAAATATTGTGTTACCGAATTTATTATTCTGAACGTTTGTCAATGTCGGATTTGATTAAACACATAATTATTTTTTTTTACTTGCACCCTCGGCTCGAACTTGTGACGACCACAATGGAAAACCTCGACAATACCAACTTTGCTACACCAGAACTTAAAACTGATCTATAAATATCCACATGTTGTTCTACAACGTGATCTTGGGGGCTTTATTATAATCAAGTGCAACACTTTCTCGTTCATTACATTTATAGATTTATGAAAGTCGCAGAGTAAAAGTTAAGAAACCACTGCAAAAGTACACATTAGAAGTCCAAATCTCGATGGTTACATAAATGCTTCCAACAATATATTATTCAGCTTATTAGAAACATGAGTATAGCAGTAGTGTAAATGATTATCAGCTGCTGTTATTCAATTTGACTGACAGGCTGAATAATAGTTGTAAAAATGCTGAATAGGGACTACTCATACTATTTTCATAACTTTTGCCTATAGCTGAATGCATAGCTTTTATGAAGCTGCTTTACAACACGAAACTGTAGAAAGTAATTTTACATAGATGTAAATGTTTGTGGGGAATACTTGTTGAATTGTGAAGTTAATTTAAATTAAATTTAAAATTTAAATTAAATTTTCTTGAACAAAGGGATACTTTTGGATAAGCTTCACTGGGTACATTGCTCAGCACTTATTTACTATAGTGCAAGGTAAAAGTGATTGTTTCTGATATCTTATAATGGATTCGGCTGATATGTTATAACCAATAACTGATAGATCTTGGACGGAACACTCCGGAATGTTTAGGAAAATGGGGCGCACCCTTGATCCAATTTGGGATACATTATTGACTGTTTTCGAAAATGTAATTTCTTTTGAATCGCTTGTTTCATAAGGGCTTAAACAATTGTCACGTCGGTTATAACTTGCGTAAAGAGAAAATCAAAACATTAAACGTCGTGTGGAAGTGGAATTTATAGAAGGCCTTAGTGCTTTTTCGTAGCTTTTAGTTTCCGGATTTGAAAGATCTTCAGTAGCAGTGGCTTGCTAAATTAGCATCAAATCGCGGTACTAGTTCCTCTCATATTAAAGAGATTTATGGCCAAACGTCAATAGTTACAACAACTCGAGTAATGGTATGATGTGATATGAGGGACTCGATGGCCTTAGAGCAAACGTTTTTGCTTACTGAGCAGAAAATCATGAGTCTAATCTCAGGCCCATCCACATTCAAGATTCGTCGATCGTTTTATTTGATAATATGACTAAATGGTAATAACAGCAACTCGTTGGGTGAGGTGGCACTGGCATTGCCTAGTTTTAGATTACCAGTTTCTACACATTAAGGATGAACTCTATTCTCAAGCATCGGTAACAAGAGAGTAGCAGCCGTGGGTGTTCAATCATGTTCATGCGTATGCTCAAGTAGCCACAAAGTTTCGTCTAGACCGATGGTAAAGTAATGATAACATTTTGATCAGTTTGTTGAAGATACATAAAGGGCGAACACGAAATTATTGCGACACATTCAACAGGGCATAACTTTTTTACCATTGGGTAAAAATCAACCAAATTTTGCACACTTTCTCATTGATGTGTATTGTGTACATGCTGTCAAACTCGAAGTCGTGTTTTTCGATTCAACGAAAATGGAGGTGAACCAACGCGAGTTGAGAGAACAAATTCTTTCCAAACACCTGGAATTTCCTGACCTGTCGCACCGGCAGTTGGGAAAAATGTTGAACATTCACCATTCAACCGTCTCCAGAGTGTTGAAGCGGTTCCAGGAGCGGTTGACGTTGAACCGCGGCAAAGGAGCTGGAAGAAAACCGGGACCGGAGAACAAAAAGACGGAGGGAAAGGTGAAGCGGATGATTAAAGCAAATCCCAACGTCTCAAGCTGTGATTTGGCTAAAAAGATCGGCATGTCGCAGAGCTACGTCCAGAATGCAAAGAAGAGAGCTGGACTACATACATACAAGGTACAGAACTTCCCAAACCGCGATGAGCGGCAACAATCGACGGCTAAAACTCGGGCACGGAAGCTCTACGAGAAGATGCTGACAAAATATGGCTGCTGTGTGATGGACGACGAAACGTATATAAAAGCCGATTTTAAGCAAATTCCGGGGTTGGAGTTTTTCACCGGCAAGAGCAAGTTCGATGTGGACGAAAAATTTAAGAAGAAGAAAATGTCGAAGTTCGCCTCCAAATATCTCATTTGGCAGGCCATCTGCTCTTGCGGACTGAGGAGTGAGCCTTTCGTGACAAAGGGCACAGTAAATGGCGAGATCTACAAATCTGAGTGTCTCGAGAAGCGCCTTTTGCTTTCTTGCAGCAGCACGACGAAGCTCCGCTATTTTGGCCAGATTTGGCATCATGCCACTATTCTAAAAGTGTCCTGGAGTGGTATGAGGCCAATTCTGTCCATTTTGTTCCAAAGGACATAAATCCGCCAAACTGTCCGGAGCTGCGCC